GAAAAACAAAGATCTTAGAATAACTAAAACAATTTTGACAAAGAAGAATAAAGAAAAGTAAAGCAAGAGGAATCTCTTCACTTCTACCTTACTACACAGCCCTATTACTTAAGACAGAGTAGAACTGATGGAACAATAGACATCTAGATCACTGGAACAAGATAGAGAACCCAGAAATGGATCCTCACACATAAAACAATGCTCAAATGACACTTGACAGAGGTGCAAACGGATCAATGAAGTATGACAATCTTTTTTTTTTTTAATTCCGCATTTTTAATTGGTACATTATAGTCGTATGTACCGACAGGATTTGATGTTCCATATTCATACATGCACACAATATACAATGCAATAATATAATCTGGCCAATATCACTCCCCAGAACTTTCTCCCTTTGATTTTCATGAGGTCCACCTCCATCTTTCTTTTCCTTTTCCTCTCTAGCTTCTGAGTATGACAGAGAACATATGACCCTTGACCTTCTGAGTTTGGCGTATTTCACTGAATATAATGTTCTCGAGTTCCAACCGTTTTCCTGAAAATGACATAATTTCATTTTTCTTTATGACTGAATAAAACTCCATTGTGTATCTAGACCACATTTTCTTTATCCATTCAAAGGATGACAAACTTTATAAAAGACTGGCCTAAAGCAACTGAACTTCTACGACAGAAAAATAAAATCTTGACCTAAAGCTCACACCTTACACAAGCTAATTGAAAATAGATTGTAGACTTAAATGTAAAAAAAAAAACATAATGTTTAAAATTCCCCAGAAGGATACAAAAATTCTTGATACAAAAGGAGACTGAAACCAATAGAAGGAGACTCAAAACTCATTTAGATGTCAATTTTCCGTGAATTAATTTATAAATGCAATGGGATTTCGATAAACTACCACTGGAATCTGGCTTGCCTGCAGGTATCAACTGTGTTGCAAAAGGGAGCAAATTAGACAAGTTGCTTCTAAAAATTATATGAAAAATGTTAACAATAACAACAACAAATCCAAAAATATCCTGAAGAGGAATAATGACAGACAACTAACTATATTAGATGATGAAACATTAAAAATTATGATCATTAATGTTCTTGACACAGGGGATAGATATTTAAATGTGACAGAATAGGTACTCTATGAATAGATCCAAATTCCCAGGAGAATATCCTATATGATATCACCAGCATTTTAATTTGAAGTGGAAACAAATGTTTAAAAAAAAATCACAGAGAAAAAATAATGCCATCCTCAGAAAAGGGTTGAGTTCTGAGAAATACTCATATTTGAGGCAAATAGGGGCAACCAACAATGAAAAAGTTAACTGAGATAAGTTTAGTTAAAAATGTGAAAATGCTGAGCATGGTGGACCACACTCGTGATCCCAGCAACTTGGGAGGCAGGAAGATTGTAAGTTGAGGCCAGACTCTGCAACTTGGGGATACCCTGTCTCAAAATAAACAAATAAAAAAAAGGGTTTGGGAACGTAGTTCAGAGGCAAAGCCCTCTAGTGTTCAATCCCCAGTACCACACACACACACACACACACACACACACACACACACACACACAAAATTAAAAGCTCTAGAAGAGTGTTTTAAATTGTTTGAATACAAAGAAGATATTTCATAGATAGAAGGAGGGGACAGATGAAATCTCTAAGTTTGCTAATGTACTTACAATGTCCACTTTATAGAAGAGCTTGGAACCAATGGCCAGAATACCTTAAATGTGCCTGTTTTTTTTTTTTTTATTTGGGTTTCTAAACTAAGCCCTTGGGGAAAATGAAGATATTCCGATCGTACAGATTTAGGGGCACAAGACCTAATAATCAGTTACCCTTTCAAGAGGCCCAGGAATTAATTTGCCTCTGCATATGGAGTGAGACCAGTGTGCAGAGAGAGTTTACAGAACGAGTAAGGCAAGGGAGGCACTTTAGGGAGGAGGCCTCTGGGCACCTTTTAACCAGGACTTTTGCTTCCTTCTTCAATCTTTAAGCAACATAGGATTCTCGTTCTACCCCGCGGCTCTATTGGCCCTTCTGAGGAGCTGAGCCAGCCAGTGCAAGAGAGGAAAAGCACCTGTCCCAGGAGGAGGGAAAACTTCACCCTACATGTAGGATGGAGATGCTGGCGACAGACGTGACATCTAATCCAGGGAGGTTGGAACTCCATCCTGATGGGCACCTCCTCATTACTGGGGTGCTGTCCTTTTAAAATGGAATTTTCTATTCTGGGGAAATGAATTTATGACAGAGGGTTTTTTTTCTTGAAGGTCTCAAATAACAAGTCAATGTTTTCTGAATTTCCACAAAAACATACTCTACAAAGAAATATTGTGGCTAGTAATCCAACAGTCCCCCTTTTTAAAAAATTATTATTATCGTTCCACAGTGTTCCAGGGGACATTCATTTGCCCCAGAGGAAGGATAGACTCAAAAGAATCCAGAATTTTTAAAAAGCCAATTGAATTTCAAAAAGACCTTTTTTTTTAAAGAGAAATAATAACTGAAACATTTGTATTGAAAGCTGAAATAGTTTTTTTTTTTAAGGTGAGTGAACTTTTCTAGAGAGGAAAGCCTCTTTTCATTTACAAAGAATGATTTTGAATATCAAAAGCCTCAGTGCTAACTGTATTCTATATAGGAAATGTATGATGTAAACTATAGAGTTGGGAAGAATTGAAGTTTTCCTGCCGAAATAAAGCAACGGCTTTCAGACCCTGGAGGAGAGAGCCTCATAGTTGGTTGGATATCGTGGGGGGCCCACTCTCGCTCCCACCCTGATGTGGGGAAGAAGGAAAAGGACTTGATAAAAGCAGAGGGGGAGTGAGACCTGGTGGATCAGGGATAAGAAGCACATGAGTGAAGCTCCTGGTGTGAGGTTCAGTGATATCACATGGAATCTTGTGACATGATAAGACCAACTGTGTCACTGAATGCCCAGGTGCCTTGAGAAGTAGCTGACAGGGTACCAGTGGACCCAAGGGGTCGGACGGTCACCAGCAAGATGTGAAGTTCAAGGACCACACTGATCAAAGTACATGGAAACGCCAGAGTCCTCTTGATGGATGGCAGTAAGGGTGGCCATTGGTGGTCATGTAGCTCCACAGGATCCAACATTGGGGAGGTAGGAATTACCATGAACCAATTTCTTCTACATCCAGAGTAAGAAAACAAGATGGCGTGACCAGAACTGGCTTCACTCCAAGATGAGTGGGGAAAAGGAGAAGGAAGGAGAGGAATAGAACCTTGGTGTTATTGTTTTTACTCGTGATCTGACTTATTAACCATTAATTGACTGAGTGTACATAAAGAAGTCCAGATGACCTTGTCTCCATCAAGTGAATTAGAAACTCAGAATTACCGTAGTAGAAAAAAAATGGTGAAACTTTCTTAGATTTGATGCACCTGCACACACAGCCTATAAAATTAATAATTAGCTTTTGCATTTTATTTGCTATTTCTGTATTTTGAAAATATTTTATGAAGAGAATAATATGTACTCATATTTCTTGTGCATTTTTTTTTATAAATTTCTGATTTTCTCAATAATTAAAACCGTTAGTCACCATAGTTTTACTTACCACCTATTTGGTCTTACAAATTGAACCTGAAATTTACCCTCATTTTTTTTTCTTTTGAGCTGAGGAACAGTAAGTAATCTCCTATTATTCCATTTCTAACCAAGTTGATTTAATCTTGGGAGGTTTTCATGTCAAAATCCCTAACTATTTACTTTGTTTAGTTTTTTAGGAGTCATGAAATTATGGAATTTTTTTAGAAAGGTGTGTTACATTGGCTCTTCATATTTCCATTGAATTCTCTTCCTTTGCCTTTATGACTTGGCTTACAAAGGGAAGGAGAGGATCTAATCTGAAGAACTTTTTCTAAATCATTTTTCCTCCGCTCAACGGTGACCTGGTCCTTCTGCCTTCCGTTTCTCCTACTCGCCTGTCATTAAAAGGTACAATTTGGATGTTTGTCATTTTTCCTTCTTTTTTAGTCAATTCCATAGCGTCTTTCAGCAGTCTTCTCCCTGAGAGTTCTCCTTCCTTCCTGGACCTGTTGATCTTGTCCTTGAGGAAGGAATTCTTTTTTTTTTAATCCAGACTCACAAGACCTTCTTCATATTGCGTCTCTTCAGCTAGGAGCCCCAAAGAATCAGACCAAGTCACTTGAGCTTTGGCCAGCATCCCGTGACTGTCATATGCTGATGACAAGTCCTCTCCCATCTACTTCCCTCCCCTCCCTACCCTCCGTCCCCTGGTTCCCCTTCATCTGGAGTTCCACAGCTGGCTGACAGAAATGGACAGTGGGTTGCTGGGAAATAGGTTCTCTCTAGAAAGTTTTTAGCTTGTTCCAAACACATTTCTTAAAAGCTATCTGTATTTTTTTTTCTTTGCTTATCTTATTAAAACACAAGGCAATTAGATTTCTACCCATATCCTTCCTAGTGATCACTTGTTCAAGCATCAAATTACTGTTAAAAGTAGCTCTGTTGGGTAGTATTTTTAATGTGGCTTATACTTCAGCAAAATGGACTGGTCCCACTGGGGTGGGGTGGTATATGCTTGTAATCCCAGGTGCTGAGCAACTCAGTGAGACCCTGTCTCTAAATAAAATACAAAATAGGGCTGGGGATGTGGATCGGTAGTCAAGTGCCCCTGAGTTCAATCCCCAGGAACAACAAAAAAAAATCCTTTTAAATTTAAGCTTGAAAGGAACATTGGATCATACTTTGACCTTGTCATTATCTTCTGGAGTAGGGCCAATGGCTATCTGAGAACAGATTTGCCCAGTGACCTGTGTTTTTATTATGTTAACAAAGAAGTTGAGGAAGTGAGAATTATTAGAAGGTCGTTCTCAGCTTCACTTTCACCCTGTCCCTGATGGGATGTTTGAGACTTCACTAATCGCAGGAAACCCTGGCTCTGTAGCTGTACCTATAAGACTCCCTCTGGAAAACATCCCTGATTATATGGAAAGGGATGACCATCTTAGGAAAGGGATTTCCTGCCCACCACCCTGCGCAGAGCGTCCTGGACTTCTTTGTTCCGCAGGCTGTACACAACTGGGTTTAGTAAAGGGGTGATGACAGTGTAGGTCACCGACACCAGCTGGTCCTGATCCCTGGTGTTCTCTGACTTGGGCTTGAAGTAAGCAATGGAGGCACAGCCGTAGTGGACGATGACCACCGTCAGGTGCGAGGCACACGTGGCGAAGGCCTTCTTCCGGCCCTCAGCAGAGGCAATCTTGAGAATCGTGGAAATAATGAGAACATAGGAGACGAACAGGAAGGTGGCAGGGGCTGTGATGGCCAGAAGGCTGATAATTAAGGTCAGGATATCGTTGATGATGGGGGTAGCACAGGCCAGGTCCAGGACAGGCCGGACGTCACAGAAGAAATGCTCAATCAGGGAGCTGCAGAAGGGCAGTCTGAAAATGGCCACCGTCTGAACCAGGGAAAGCAAGAAGCCTGTGGTGCAGACCGAAGAGGCCAGCGTGGCACAGACCCTCCAGTGCATGACGATGGGGTAGCGAAGTGGGTTGCAGATGGCCACGTAGCGATCGTACCCCATGACTGCCAGCAGCAGGCAGTTGGTGATGGCAAAACCAAGGAAGAAGAAGAGCTGAGCTGCACAGCCCTCCAGAGAGATGGACTGGTTCGGGCACACCAGGCTGGAAAGCATGCGTGGGATGATGACCAGGGAGTAGAAGGTCTCCGAAGTGGACAGGACACTTAAGAAGAAGTACATGGGGGTGTGGAGGCGGTGGTCCAATCGGATAATGGTCACAATGATGACATTGCCAGCCAGAGTCAGCATGTAGAGGGAAAAAAAGACCACGAAGAGCGTGAGCTGGTGTTCTTGGAAATTGGAAAAACCTTGGAAAAGAAACTCTTTTACCTCCGTACGGTTGGCTCTCCTCATTGAGGATATCAGGTCTGAAACAAAAAGAGAAAGTCAATACCAGTTGTTAACATCAGAGGCTGCCCTGACCTCAAGTATGTGCACAGAGCAAAGATGCAATATGGCAAAAACCCATTTCAAACCTGGATGGATCACTGGGAGTGATGGCTCATGCCTGTAATCCCAGCAGCTTGGGAGGCTGAGGCAGGAGGATCACAAGTTCAAAGCCAGCCTCAGCAAAAAGCAAGATGCTAAGCCACTCAGGAGATCCTGTCTCTAAATAAAATACAAAAAGGGCTGGGGTAGTGGCTCAGTGGTCAAGTGCTCCTGAGTTCAATCCCCAGTAACCCCCTCCCCCCAAAAAAACAAAGCTGGGTAGATCAACTTCCTTCCTCAGGAACATGGCAGACTCATGGACTGGAAATAAAGATACACAAAATTTGAGCAACATTATTTAAAAGTTAGAGGTACAACATTCTTTTCAAGTCCACCTGGGTCTTTTAAAAACATGATCACTTATGGCCCATGAAGTTGGTCTCAATAATTTCTTGAAACTAGATACTCTTAAAAGGTAACCACCTCCTTAGACCATAATGTGATTAAGTTAGAAATGTCAAAACACATGGTAACTTGGGAAGTTGTAAATGTTTGGTAACCTACTGTCAAAAGAGGGACTTAAATTGATGATCCATAAATATCTCAAACTAATAAAAGAATCACATACCAAATCATACACAATGCATCTTGAACATTATTACAGGTAAATTTGTAGTTTAAAATGCTTGCTTGTTGGAAAAAACAAGGCTTAAAATTAATAAGTTGAGCATCCACCTAGGATGTTATTAAAACAAAACCACAAAGAAAGTAGAAGAAAAAATAATAATGAGAAAACAGATGTTAATTAGTGTAAACAACGATAAAATAGAAATTGGAAAAGAAACTCTTTTACCTCTGTGCGATTACCTACAAAAGGTAAAAATTTATGAACTTAGGTTTAACTACAAGTGAAATTGACCCAAAAAACCCAGAAGATATAAACTATATTATGAGTTAATAAAAGGATAAAATCACAGAAATTTTAGAAAAAAAGATGAAAAATACTGTTATAAACAACTTTATCACAATATAATTTTTTGAAATATAAATAGACATATTTATAGAAAAATATTCCCTACCAATATTTAATCAAGAATTAGAAAACCTGAAAATCCCTTTAAGTATTTAAAGAAATAAAAGACTGTTGTTTAAAACTAGAAATAAACCTCTGGGCCAAGACAATTTTACCAAAATTGTTGTGAAACATTCAAGAGTAAACTAATTCCAATATTACACAAGCTATTTTAGGTAAAAGAAAAAGAAAAATTATTCTCCACTTCATTTTATGAAGCTAGAATTATCTTGATATCAAACTTTGACCAATCCCATTCATCAATAACAGATGTTAAATTCTTAAACAAAATATTTCCAAATCAAATCTAGCAATGTATAAAACAGGCACAAAACAGGTTTTATTTCAGAATGGAAAATTGTTTAAAATTAAAACAGCCCAGTTATATATTTATTCAAATAAACCATTTAAAGAAAAAAAGCCATATGATTATTTCAAAAGCTGTTCAAAAAAAGCTTTTTAAAAATTCAATGTCTACTTTAAGAAGAACCGTTGGAAAATGGAGAATAAAAGATTCTCTTTAAGCTCATAAAGCTGGTATACAGCAATTCTACAGCTAACATCATACTGAATGGTAAGATATTGAAGGATTCTGTTTAAGATTAAGGACAAGATAAGGGTGAATGCTTCATCCACTTCACTTCAATCTTGTATTGAATATTCTAGCCAGCCCAGTATGGCAAGAGAAAGAAAATATATATATATATATATATATATATGAATTGAGAAGGAAAAAAATAAAACTGACATTCTATAAAGATAGTATTCATAGAAAATTCAAAAGAAACTATTGGGAAATTATCAGAATTATTAAGAGTTTAGCAACCCTTTAGCACAAAACTTATACATAAAAATCCATTGCATATTTGTACTTCAACAGATAGCAAATTTAACTTAAAGGAATTATCACTTCTAATAGCTTCAAAATACAAAGTTGCCATTACAAAATCATAATGAAGATCACCAAAAAAGACTGAAATTAATTATTATGTTTCTGAATTTGAAGATAATAGTTTGAAGATTTTAGTGAATCCAAAATTGATCTGTGATTCAATGTACTTCGATCAGAATCCCAAATGGGTTGTTTTTTGATTATTTGTTTGTAGGATTGATGGTGCTAAAATTTAGGTGGAGGTTCTATGTTTCAGGAATGCTGAAACCTTCTTTAAAAGAAGAGAAACAAAAGGAGAGAATTTGCCTTTCAAATACCATTACTTATTATAAGGCTACATTAAAAGGCTACAGTAATTCAGAAAGTATGGTATCAGCATAGGAAGAAGCAATCACATCACTGAAAGAAAAGAGAGTTCTGAAAAATAATGAATACATATTGCTTATGAAGTGGGGTGGAGAATAGGTTCGATTTTTTTTCTTTCTCTCTCTCCTTTGAGGCTATCCTCACTACTATCTTTCCTTCTCTATGTCCCTCTCATCTTGGTTCTTTTGGATTCATTTTTTGATAGCCCTTGTCATATTCAATTGAAATGATTTGTTAGCTGACTTTGTTTGTTTGATGGTAGAGCTCACACTCACAATGCTGCATCCCCAGAGCCCAGCCCAATTTTTGCCTGTTAGCCTTTTGATAAGTGGGTGTTAAAGGAATCCATGAAGGAGGTCCTTCTAGTCTAAAGAAGGAGACCCATACCTCTGCCAGACACCCTCAGAAACACTTGGGCACACAGAAACCAGGACAAAGAACTTAAGTGAGAATCTAGACTTCAAAGATGCCAAGCAGTGAGAAGTAGAGGATGTGGTTTCTTTTTTTTTAGGGACATGGCAGGCATATGGAGCATATGAAGCACCCAAGGAAAAGACAGAAAAACTGTCATACAGATAAACAGGAAAGGATAAAATCTACAGAGCTCATGAAGTTGCAGAGGCTGAGAGGCTGCTAGGGAAAACAGACATAAAAGGACAGTCCAGGAAAAGATGGATAGATGAACTCAATGTCCTCATGCCATTATCATTAAGAAGGGACATACGTGACTAATCTTGAGGTCGTTTCTAATCCTCCATCTGAGTCTTAGCATAACAGCTCCTTTTCCAGGAAAGACAATAGAATGATATGTGATTTTTTTTTTCATATAACAGCTTCCTTTATTCTTCAAAGTAACAATTCATATACCACTCAAAATAACTATGGTAGAAACGTGAAGAAACAACTTCATAAAGGATTAAAGAGTAGTCTAATATCACACATATAGTTCATGACAGATCTAACTTAGAAAACCACTTATCTTGACCCTAAACCTGAGTCCTTTTCATTGAAAAATCTCAATAGTGGAAGAAGAAATTCTGTCTATTTCAGCTGAGGTCCTCATCGATATAACACCGATACAAGGAGGCGAATGAAGGCTGGAATTTAGGAAGACATTAAAAAAAAAAAAAACAGAAGGGTTCATCTGGTGGAAGGAAGGGTGGGGCTCAGGAAAGAATGGTGGTTTCTCTGTTTGTTTGCTTGCTTGCTTTGTGTGTGTGTCTGTGTGTGAGAAAGTTACGATCCTGATGCTCTATGTCACATTTCTGAAAAAGGTCAGGACAAGTCACCTAGCTAGGCTTATAAAATAAATAAGGTAAAGTCAAAATAGCCTACAGACACCAAAAACTGATGGAACCCCGAGAAGTTAGCCCTAAGACTCAAAAGGCTGAGGTTTTTAGAAAACAAAATGCAGATACTAACATTTGGTTAAAGTATACTATATTCTATCCTCTTTAGACAGGCTACATAATTTAAAGTTAAGTAATTGCTCTGCAAGGAAATAAAATACTCCTATTTTTATGGATGGAGAACTTGAGACTCAGTAGGATAGGCTACCTGTCAGATTCACATATCTATTAATTGGCAAGACCAGATGTGAAAGAGGTCTCTCTGACTACAAATCCCACGTATGCCTAGTGAATCAAAATCCTACTGAATGAATATGCAGGCAAGGTGTTCAACTTAGAGGAGGAAAGAATAGCTGTATCAGCAATGCCCAGTTCTCAGCCTTGTTGACTCAAAAGATCCCAGGGATATCAGGAGTGGATGCCAGTGCTGGGATTATCAAGTCTGCCCTATTTACTGTCTTCCCCTACAACTTACAGCAGATCCTTCCTTTGTTTAAAAAGGAAAATGTGAGAACATTATATTCTGCATTTTACTTTACAGGCATGAGATCTCAATCAGCCATGGTGCAAGGTGCAGGGAAAGTAGGAAACTCAAATGTCAAGAATATCCTTAGAAAACCAGAAAGGGAAAAGGAAGAAAAATAAAAAAAATCACAAGCAGCTCTCCTCCCCTTTGTTTCTACCGACAACCACTTACTTCTTGCGAACTTGGCAAAGGAAGTAAGAGAAATTCTCTTAGGAGCTGGTGCATCTGAACTTGAAAAGATAAAAAGAAGAACTGAGATGGACTCTCTCCAAGAGGCCCATGTGGGAGGAATTGAAAACCTCAAGCCTAGACGTTCGGCATTTCCTGAGTGTCAGAGGAAGCTCAGAGTGGCTGACTCAAGGCTAGAACTTAGACTCTTCTGGCCTCAGAGTCTTCCTGCAGCGTCGAAACCCCGGAAACCCTACATCCAGGCACTCTGTCTATTTACTCCCCAAAGAGGAGCAGATCCACTCTCTCTAGGACACCAAGCACCTCCCCTCAAGCATGAGTCCCAGGCACAGGAGTCACCAGAGAGTTTGAGGCTCTACCCTAGGGGCCTCATTAGAAATCTGGGCAATTAATAGAACAAAACTCTTTGCCTTTGGTAACTAATTTGTAGAAATATGTTTTGTTAAAAATCCAGAAGAAAAAAAAAATCCAGAAGAAACACAGAAAAATGATAAAAAAAAAATCATTTTCTATTTTTCTATGTCGAGAATCAGTCCTTCATTTATTGAATCAACAAATGTTAAAGAACATCTTCTCAGGTGCCAGGCAGTATGCTGAGTGTTGGGGATACAATCGTGATGAATTCAGCCATGGTGTTTGCTCTCACAGAATGGAGAGGAGAGACCCGTACAGAGCTGTCGCCGATCCATTGTATCTTCATGCAAATTTGAAAAGGGAGCCTCTTCTGGATCGATTCAGCCCATGTACATGCTGCTTGCTAAACAGACAATGCATTTATGTAAAATGGCTCACCCTTCTATAACCAGATGGAGCTCTGCACCAAGATTTATGGCTTGTCAAGTAGGCTCTGGGCTGAATTTTGTTGACTATGCTCTCCTTGATTAGGTGTCCTTGCGCAGTGCACAGCCTCCTCCACCAGGTATATTTCAAACAAATAATCTCACAAATACTTTATTACAAGTAAAAATGAACACTACAAGGAAAAAGGCAGGGTGGTAAGAGAGAATATAACAGAAGAAAAGTTTGTCTATTAGTCTTTAAATATTTTTCTAGGGAATGATGTTTGAGCTGGAATGTTTAAGATCAATGTGGGTCCGGCCAGGTATAGTTAGGAAAGAAAATTGGAGGTGGAGAATAAAACAGGAGTGAAAGACTTAATGAACTACTGGTAACAACCCATTCCAAAAAGTGGAAGAAAGCCAAATTGTACACAGAGAATTTGAGGGAGAGATCATGTTAGAAGGTGAAAGGAAACGAGGATGCTCAGGACTTTGTACAACTTCTAGCTTATTGTCAGGCTGATGTGGAGCCAACAAAGCTTTTAAGGAAGTGAATAGCTTGATCAGATGTGCATTTCAAAAGGTCTAATTGAACTGTGGAAAATGAATTGGAGGAGAGCAAGTTTGGAAGCAAAAAATCCAATTAAGGGGTTACATTATGTTCCTGGTGGAAACATAATGGGAGCTGGAACTAGGATAGTAGACGCCAAGACAACTTTGGCTTGTTGGAACACAAAACCAATTCGTGATAGGCATCTTAGTGTACCTATCACGTCAAGAGACCTGTCTTTACTAGGCTCATCAGGGACTCAAAAGTCAATCCTCAGAAAATGTTTATCTAAAAGTAAAAAAAGGTAGCTTTTTTGCAGAAACCTGAAGGTTTTCTGTACCATGATCTTATTGCAGCTTGACAGAATGCTGACTCCATTCAAGATAATGGAGAATCATCATAGCTTTTCACTTGGTGGGCCAACTAGAGCCCTTGAATAAAGGAATCACCATATCCCCATGAGAACAGACTCTTGACAATGCCACAAATATATATTATATGTGATTTAATGATTTTATATCAATCATTATAAAAAGGAACTCTGAGTACACTCTACCATTAAGTCAACTGGATCTACTGGTTCATAAGCCTTTAATGGTGGAGATGTACTCAGAGTAACTTTACCATGAAGCTACTGGTTCATAAGCCTCTAATGGTAGAGGTGTTTAAACGTATTCTGTATTAACTTCAGAGCCTTCTCTTGTTCTTGGTCTTGGTTGGAACTGACAATATCAAAGGTTACTCTGGAAATGGGCTGAAGTAGCAGATGTGTGTCTATCTCAAACAATACATTTGAAAATTGGGAAATAAACCAAGGTGTGTCTGGGAATCCCCAGGCCCACTCTAAACTAAAATCAGGTCAAAATTCCATTTTTATTTGACCTTTATGATCCTTCATTGTGAGCTGGGTTTGGTATCCAGGCATAAGTATCCCTAATAATCCCAATGTGTGTGTGTGTGTGTGTATCCTTTATAATCAGTCACCTTCATGAATGGATACAGTTTCCTTCAGGGAAGATTGTTAAAACATTACAATACTTATAAAACATCTTTACCTCAGTGTCAAGGAAGGCATCATCCAGGGGATATGGCTATTCAAGGAGGTCTAAGAATATTAACTGCCTTTAGTGTGGGAATTGGGTGAGGGGTCATAATTCTCTATTATGATAACTCCAGTTAGGATTGTGTTTAACATCCAAGAAACTGTTAGAACATAATAGTATTATTATAAATATCTATTTTCCTTCCTGTTTTAGTCTTAAGAATACCATGATCAATTAAAAACCACCAAAGACCTCTGCAAACAAAAAATTCTGATTATCACTGCTAGCCATTTCATTAATCACACCTACTCTTGACATCTGAAAGATACATGATGCCATTTGGTTCTTGGTTCACTGGGATCTCATTCTCCCTATTGAAATCAGGGAGCCATTCAATGCAACATCACACATATTCAACAACAATCTATAGGGAACAGTCACTATTAACTTGACCCACTGTTGAGTCCACATTTCAGTTAATCAACTAAGCAAACTATAAGAGCTACTCTAATCTCCTTGAGAAGATACATTGAAATTGGAAGCTCTGGTTAAGTACACACATCAATTCATGCTGCCTATCTGAACATTATGCCCAACAAAGTCAGAATCAATTACTATGCACATGGTCTGGGTTCCTAATGCTATGTATTGGGGATATTTGGGGATCTGATTCTAATTGTGGATTAGGAGGCAATGAGAGAGGGTGGAGCAGACATAACTTCTAGTAATGATACAACATGAAGGTAACAACTTCCTTTTGCAAAAGAAAAACAAGTGTAAAATTGAATTAGATTATCCTAAGCAACTATTTAAGATACTGGAAGTTGACTGCAGGCAAATAACAAACTAAGAAACATTTATGCTCAAAAATTAGCTACAGCTTCAGGTTAGAAGCATGAGTCTGCAGCCACATCTCCTGTGGGGAAGCTCCCATCGTCCTCTTCATCCCCACAGCTCAGTGGGTAGGACCTTTAGTTCTAACTGCTTGGTGTTGGCTGTACAAAAAACCAGCTCTACTCTCCCAGGGGTCAGTCTATATTTGGGGTGGATGTGGACTGAAAACTGGCAGATTTGTTAGCTCAGTGTGACCAATTTATTTAGGGATAAATGAGGGGAAAACCACAGCTCTGCTGCCTGATGTATGGTCTTGTTCTGGGCCAGGAGAAAACAAGTCATAAATTTAACTAGGAGATCCTGGAAAATAAGAGAGCCATCGATGGGCTGAAGTCACCCATCCTTGGATGCAAAGAAACGGTGAGTACACGAAGGAGACCTGTAATATGACTGCTAAAGGTGACAGCAAAGTGACACCTGAGAAATGGCTGGGACTTTGAATGCCATGACCTGCCACCTTCGAAAGAGGATGGCGAATTTCAGGCTCTAGGGATTTGGGCACAATCTCTGCCCAGACCATTGGCTAACTGCTAACCTAGGGGAAAGCCCTGGGAAGCCAGGCTAAAGAATGTCCATGACATCATTATCGACAACAATAATAATCTGAGAACACATGAGCATTCACATACAGCAGTTTCTGCTTTTAAGTTGAAGAAACTAAAAACAACAACAACATTCGAGAATATATAACAAAATCCAGAGTTGCTGCAGAATATTCCAGTTTTTAACCAAATATTTCATGTAAAGAAACAGAAAATTGTGCCCAAAGTACAGGGGAAAAAGCACTCAGTAGAAATCTGGTTCTGAATGGGCCCTTATATTGGATTTAGCAAACCAAGAAATGAAAATAACATTTTATAAATATGTTCATAGAGTTAAGTAAAACTATGTTCAATGTATGTTTATATAAAACCTTAATTTGTATCCATTACTGTATATAAATTTATATATATTTATATTATGTAAATATATACTTATATATTTGATATATTAACACTATATATATGTTGTATATATTGATATACTTACATCATATATTAGATATTTTTATATTATATAGTCATATGGATATATAAATATTACTTATTTATATTATGTGCAAATATAATCACTGGATATTTTAATTCTATATTTTTATTTATAGAGTATTAGTTGTATTTGTGTGTAGTATTAATTTATACTTCCTTATGATGTTCTTTTATGTTACTCTTAATATATTTTTATTTCTGTTTCTACTAAGCATACATTTTCCTTCTACTTAACAATCTCCTATTCATGTTTCTCTTAATTCATGTCTGCTTACACACACACATACACACAAGCCATTCGTACTCTGTTTTCCTTCTTAAAGATCATTTTCTCTGAGCATAGAAAACTCTAGTATGGCAGTTATTTTCTTTAAGCTCTTTGAAGATGTCATTCCATTGATTGCTGTTCTCCATGAGTGCTATTAAAAGACAAACTAATGACCTTATTTTTATTCCATGGAAATAATGTATCGTTTTCCTCTATCTTTACTTTTAAGGCTTTTTTTTAAATCATTGTTTTGCTGTTTTCCTAGAGATGTGTACATGCATTTTGCATGTGTGGTGTGTGTGTATGTGTGTGTGTGTGTATTTATCTGGCTTGTAATTCAGAGTGATTGTTAAATCCATATCTTGGTTGAAATTCAAAAATTTCAGACTTGTAAATGCATGGCTATAATTTTTTCACACCTTACTTCTGAACATGCTAACTCTCCTATCAATCTGGTACTCCAATTACACATATGCTTACATCTTTACACAGGGGTTCTATATGCTTCTGGTGCTCTTTTAGACATATCACATTATGCTTCAATCTGGATAGTTTCCACCCACATGTCTTCTAATTCAGCAAATTTTATTCCAATGGTTTCTAATGTGTTATTAAAATATTCTATTAAATTCATAAGTTCTAGTTATTATACTTTTTACTTCTGGTGTTAATTTTATTTAATGTTTTAAAATTCTCTGCATTTATTCCAGATCTTCCACATCTGTTTTCTCAACATAATAATGATTACAGTCGTTTTCTGGTGGTGCATAACAAATACTATGAGATCACCAGCTTAAAGCAACATGTATTTATTATCTCTCCATTTTCTGGGCAGGTGTCTGGGTGTGGCTTGACTGGGTCCTCTGCTCAGATTCTCATAGACCTGTAATAAAATTGTCAGAGGAGCGTGTTCCTTCCTGCAGCTTGGCACCCACTTCCAAACTCACATCGTTGTTGAGAGAATTGAGTTCCCTGTGATTTCAGGACTGAGTTTGTTTCCTTTTTCTTGCCGGCAACCATAATTGCTCTCAGTTACTAGAAGTTGCCCACATTTTTTTTTTTTTTGCACAAGCCACTTAAGGCTTCTTCTTAAGGCGACTTCTTCAAAGGCAGTGAGGAGGTATCTTGAATCTCTCTTACTACATAAGAATACAACTTAGCTTCAGTTGCTGAGATGGACTCGTGTAACATAATGTAAGAGGCGTGATGATCCATCTTCTGTTGGATAGAGGTAAGTCACAGTTCTGGCCACACTCAAGGGAAGGGAACAATATAGAGCTGTGGGTCATCTTAGGAAGACTCTGCTACAATTATAATCACCTTAGTTGTATCTTATAAATTCATTATGTTTTGTGTGTCTATTTCTATTTAATGTTTTTTTTAAAAAAAAATCATTTCTTGATTTTTAACCCTTTGGTCTTTTCTCTTGTCTGCCTAGTGCATAATTATTGCATCTTGAAAACTGTATCAGGACTCCTTAACTGTTTCTGAAAATAGGCAGAAAATCAATAATTTAGATTTTTTAGATCATCTCTAGATCATCTCTGTTATAATTATTAAATCTTGTCATAGTAGTATGAAAGCAACCATGTATAATTTATTAGCGAAGAAATGGGGTTATGTTTCAAAAGAAAGTTTTAGATTTGGAACCAAAGTTTTTGAATTTCATAAAATTTTACATGTCACAAAATGCCATCTTCTTTTGATTTGCTTTTAATCATTTAAAAACATTTAAAAATGTAGAAGCCATTCTACAGTTTTCAGGCTGTACAGAGACAGGTGGTGGATTCACGAGCTGATGGGCTGTAGGTTGCCTCTCCCTGTTCTAAAAAAAAAAAAATCATAAAGACAAATTGAGGCCCTAGATTATATTATCTTCCTCAGTGAAGATTTTATTTTACTTCCTGGCAGGTAGTTAGATTAGGGACAAGATCATATTTATCTAACTAGAGACTAAACTAATTTGAAGTGAGTTTCAGTCTCTGTGAGGATTAATTTATTTCTAATTTACCTCTTTGAGTAGGATGTATCCCTAAGCATATGGAGAATGCTAGCTGATCTGCTCAGTTTGTTAGTTCTTTTGACCAAAAACTACAAAGAACAAATTATACTTCCTCAAGGAAAACACAAAGCAATGAATATCAGGCTAACATTTCTGGATATTCCCTCTGGAATCTGGGCCTCTCAACTACTTCCTGCCTTTGTAGACAAATTCACTTCTTATAAGCAATATAGTACCATTGTAGGAATGGGGGAGCACTAATTCGCTTCTTTGGTTTTATAGTATGAAGCGTAGCAGGATGGAAAGAACTCTGGTAAGGACTTGCTTAATTTCTCATACAGCCTTGGTTTGTTAGTTTGTAAAATGGAGAGACACAGATACATCTAGTTCACCAAGTTATTGGGAGATGACATCATGTGACACAAAATCTAGCAAATCCTCCTCCTCCTTCTCACCACCACTACCAAATTATCATAGCATCACTCCCAAAAGAATTTTAAATAGGCACAGATAAGAAAAGTTTTCATCTAAACACTCATGAAGTTAGCAGCAAATATGAAATTAAATCCAGGGGAAAATCATGTCACTGGTCGGTAAACTGCCTCAAGTTTATTGTTAGGATAAAATGAATGAGTACATGTATGTACATTCCACAGCTTTGTACCTACCATATAATAATATGGAATATGTATAGCAATTATTGTTTAGAATGACCAGCTGTAGGTACACTGAGAGAACAGCAGATGAATGACAGAGTGTGCTCGTAACTGAGTTAGGAATACAGTAAGATCAATACTAAGAAATGATTAAAAAGCGTGATGATTGAGTCCAACTTTTACATACCTTGAGACTCAGGACAGATTGCAATTGGTTTGAGCTATAGGTAATGAGATGGATTTTGTTTAGGGAGGATGACCTGCCAAGGCTGAGGCCCAGAGACAAACTCAGCTCAAGGCTCCAAAATAAATGTAAGGTATTTATTTGGAAATCAAAGCAAAATGAGAAATATCAGTTTAAAAGTATAAAAACTCATACAACAGAATTTAGAGAGGAGAACTGATGAATCTACCCAGAGACTTTAAACTGACTTTCAGTGTCAAAGCACCTGGAGATCAGCCCTTTATGGACCCAGCAGCAGGAAATCATGCTTAAACGCACTGGGCAATTGCCACTCCTCTTGTCTCAATATGAAGAGTCCTTCCATAAGACCTTAAGCCCCCTCCCTTGGCACAGGAGAAGTGGGCAGAAAATATGACCTGGGTCCTAACAGGACCATCTGAGAGTAAAGATGAGCCTGTTCATCCCACAGATTGTTCCTAAGAGCTTAGCTAATTCCCTTCTCCTAAATGGTGTTCTCAGGGTTGGGAAATGGGCTGCCTTGGTAATGAGGTCTCCTGGCGCTCTGCTGTTTGGATTGAGGTTTCTGCCATTGAGTCACTTGGGAGTAGTAACTGCTTTTTGGAGAGAGAGACCCAGCGTTTGGAACAGAAGATTTGTACCTTATTAAGAAGCCCCAATCAGAGCTACTGCTTTGTGACCCAAAGACAAGCTTCTTTCCGGGGGTGGAGCTATGAAAATCTGGAGGAACTGAATGTGACATTTTTCTGTCCTTCACGTTCCTCTCAGACACAGGAAGACTAAGATAGACTTCATTTCCTTCCTCTCTTAAACACTTGTTTTTAGTTGTGACATTTTGGGTGGTGCCCAGAGATTGGCCAGCAAAAGGGGGAATTTTTCTAAAACCATAGCTCTGCTCAGTAAGGCTAGTAAGGAAAAAAAACCTATTCCGTAAAACAGCATAGCTCCACAAAGTGTTCTAAAGCTATGTCAGGACTGAGTTTTAAATGATTTTATGAAGGACACTGACAAAAAATTTGGCAACATTGTATCACCCTAGTAAAAAATCTGCATCACCCATTATTTCAAGCAGTTCAGATTTCCGGAATGGTAGATGTAACTCAGACATGAGCACAACTCTCTAGAAGACCCCAAAGCAGGCTCCCTGGTGAGCATCACTTCCTTATGTACCAGGATGGGGAATGTTTACTAAAGCATAAACTCAGTTGTCACAGAGCAGTGACGATGTGTAGAAGGAAAACATGATCTCTCCTGGGGAAGAGTTTGGAAATGTGGTGAATAGTGTAATGTAGAGAAGAGGGACATGAAACACTTGAAAGGCCTTAAATTGGGTCTTATACTAAAAATTGTTCAAGAGTCTAAGCCCCATGAGACCAAGCATCATCTCGGCAGTCTTTCTTTTCTTACAACCAGCACAGTACTTTGTGACTGCGGAACACATTGACACGCTGGAAGAAACGGTTTTGATTAGTAAAATCAAGCCAAATATTGGTTTAAGCAAATAAAAACTACATAGCAAGTTCTGTGTGATTTTTTTAAAAAATATTTTTGGTGGAGCGGGGGGAGTTCTTTGTTTTTCAGTCCTAGGGATTGATCAAGGGTACTCTTCCATTGAATTAGATTCCCAGTCCTTTTTATTTTTGAGACAGGGTCTCACTAACTTCCTGAAGACTGACCTTGAATTTGCAATCTTTCTGCCTCAGTCTCCCAAGTCACTAAGATTACAGGTATGTACCACTGTGCTCACTGCACAGTGGATTTTAAAAATTCAGAAAACAACAGGATAAGATTTATTCTCGGGGGGAAAATAATAAACAGTATATTCATTAAGGATTGGATCAAGGATCAGCCTTGTGTCGCTTTTATTTGAAAGATAGGAAAGGCAATAAAATCGCCAAAATCAAAGATAGTATCTGAATGGTGTGATTTCTGTCCATCTGTATATTCCCTGCATTTTCTTCCTCTTATCTTTCACTTCTCATCTATATTTCCTAGATCCCAGGTTAGTAATCCTTCTCTTTCTAATGCTTGGATTGTAGCACCTTCACTCTGCACCCCTTTATTGACTAGTCTGTTTACTGAATTCTCACACATTGGTGCGGCTGGAGTTTCAGAGATATTGGGAACTTAGAGATGACTGATAGTCTGGCGGTAGAGGGAGTCAGAAATATTCCAGGCCACAAGTAGGTATGAGGTCTTCTAATCACAAGGAATCTTCTGGCGAAGATTCGCCGGTCCTCTAGTGAAGAGATATCATGTTATAAGAATTCTGTGCATGAATTTAAAAGTATACAAATGTAATGGAAACTGTGATTTACCATTAACATACTCTGAATTACAAGATAGCAAGTGACCTGGATATCACTTTAGGTCCTTCCTATGTATATTAGTTGGATGGGCTATTCTGATCCACGGGAGAAGTAAAATATTGGCTGTTATCCAGAAGGGGATTAGAGACAAAACTGAAAATTGCATTCTTCCTAATCCATAGCTGTGTTACAAAGAAAGTGTGAGCAACAGTATATGAATCCAATCAATGCACTTCAGAGAGGTTTTTTAAAAGTCATGAAAAAAATCCATATGCGAGAGTGGAAGGTAAATGATGAAATTTTAAAAAAACCAAGGCTCAAGTAATCAAAGGATTGTTTACAATCTAAGAGTGTTAAAATGAATCCCCTAACTCCACTCCTATTCTGCTCCTATTACAAATTTAAGCTGGCTCATTTATGAAAAATAAAAAGGAATAACCACTCATAAAATCTATTATTTTATAAGGATTTCCAACATGTAAAGCACCAGGTCAGATTCTTTAAATACATTAACCTATTTAATTCTCTTGGCAACTCAGTGTTTTATTACTATAATCAATTTAGAAATGAGTTTAATATTGTGCTTAAAATTTTGAAGAGCTATTGAAGAAACTTGGGGTTGCTGCATGAATAGATTTTTTTTTTTTGAAAGATTACAATGACAAGAGTACTTCAGTAGCAAGGTACCTGAAGTGAGAAGTGTGAGTTAGGGGACCATCACATTATCAGAGGGTTTGATGATGGTCATCAAAAGTTGGGTGTTGGTAACAGTATAGAGAGAAGGGGACAGAGAGCAGAGTTGCAGGAGGGACTCCCATTGCGGGTCGGAAAAGGGAAGGGAAGTCATTCAGTTGACTCTCAGCCTTCTGAATGGTTAAACCTGGTTAAGGATCGGGGTGAAAGTGCCCAACTAACTACATTCTCCTATGCTAGGTTCGCTTGGGGTAATGGAAAATGCAGATGGGTCAATTCATTTCTGTCCCCAACATAGCTTGGAATATGGAGAATTGGAGTAAAACCGTGGGCATCTGGACTTTGTCTGGTTAAATGAATTTATCTTCGCTGTCACACTAGGAAAGTCTGTTTCCTACTTGAAGAGACATCCTCGGGTTCATTCCATTCCCTTTCCCTCTTTTGTTTAGAATTCAAGGAGATAAGTTACATTTCTACAGTGCCTTATGAAATGATTTTTCATGGTCTTAGAGGATATTTATTGCAGGGTCTCTGGGAAGACTAGCCAGCGGAAATGCTCCCTTTCCTAATCTTCCAGGATCACAGGGGATGTATGTAGGTGCAGGGCTTAGGAAGGTGAAAACCAGGACTAGACTTGGGCTCTCGGAAAGTGATGTCATATTGTGGGGACCTTGCAGGGCACGTGGCGGTGAATGCTGCAGTGAATGCTGTTGAAAAGACACAACATTTTTATTCATTAGCTAATTCATTCACAATTCATTAATTTGTCTCTAGACAACTTGTTTCCGTAAGTTGACTATTGTGCACAGTGCGGCAATCAACATGGGCGTACAAATATCTCTTTGATGTTCGGATTGCAACTTGGGTATTTGAAAAGCTGATTAACTCCACTAATCACTGGGAATTGCTAACTGAAACCACAATATCGCCTCCCTACCATTAGCATGGATAATATTTTTAAAAAACTTCCCAAGACTATTCTCAATAGATAACTCGTGTTGGGAATGATTTGTAGATATTGGAATCCTTTGACACCATTGGTGGGAATGGAAATTGATGCAGCCACTGTGGAACACAGTAGGGAAATTCCTCAAAGACCTAAAAGTAGAACTGTCACATAACCCAGCAATCCAACTTCTGGATGTGTAGTCAAGAAATTGAAATCAGGGAGCTATTGCTACAAATCCCTTTTTAATTTGATTCAATTTTATTTAATTTATCTACTTTCCCTCTCGCCTCCATCTCTGCCCTTAATCCCAAGGAACGAGGGGAAAGCCCTCTACGGTAACAAAGAAGAAAGTGGACAACGAGGTACACTGATCAGTTGGCCAGTAGGTGAACACCGATGGCCCCTGGGGTTTGAGGCTTTGCTCGGAGGCTGGACACACTTTAGGCCTGGGCCCAGCCAACTCTCTTTCGAGGTTCACTTACACATCTTTATTTCCTTTACCTAGCTCTTTCTTAGGCTTTTCCCAATGCCAAAGCCAAACTCCTCTTTTGTGACTGAATTTGCCTTTGAAGGCTTCTCCAGCTTTGGGTGGAGGCACAGGCTTGTCTTCTTCGTTGTTTTCCTAACCTTGTACCTGCTGACTTTGTCGGGCAACGTGATTATCGTGACCATTATTCGGCTGGACCGTCACCTCCACACGCCCATGTACTTCTTCCTGAGCATGCTCTCCATCTCTGAGACCTGCTACACCGTGGCCATCATTCCCCGTATGCTTTCTGGCCTCCTGAATCCTCACCAGACCATCGACATCCACGGCTGTGCCACCCAGCTCTTCTTCTATCTCACCTTTGGCATCAACAATTGCTTCCTCCTCACGGCCATGGGGTATGACCGCTACGTGGCCATCTGCAACCCCCTGAGGTATTCGGTCATCATGGGTAAGAGGGCCTGTGCCCAGTTGTCATCTGGGTCACTGGGAATTGGTCTGGGCATGGCCATTGTCCAGGTGACGTCTGTGTTTGGCCTGCCCTTCTGTGATGGCTTTGTTATTTCCCACTTTTTCTGTGACGTGAGACCCCTCCTGAAGCTGGCCTGTGCAGATACCACTCTCAATGAGATGGTCAACTTGGCTGTCAGTGTCTGTGTCCTTGTCCTACCCATGGGCCTGGTCTTCGTCTCCTACGTCCTCATCATCTCCACCATTCTCAAGATCGCTTCTGCAGAGGGTCGGCAGAAGGCCTTCGCCACCTGCGCCTCCCACCTCACAGTGGTCATCGTCCACTATAGCTGTGCCTCCGTCGTCTACCTCAAGCCCAAGTCCCAGAGTTCCCTGGGGCAGGACAGACTCATCTCGGTGACCTACACCGTCATCACGCCTCTGCTGAACCCCGTGGTGTACAGCCTGAGGAACAAGGAGGTCAAGGATGCTTTGCGAAGAGCCGTGGGGAGAAAGCCCCTCTCTCCTTAATCAGGACAGATTGGGAAGGCTTTTTTTTTTTTTGTCTTTTTTTTTCTTTTTAGTGTATCATGTATTAATTTTTATTCTATTTCATAAATATCCATACCTATGGGATTAAAAAGAGTGAACTAAGTTGAACTGGGTGCTAAAATTGAGGGCTTCCTCTTGGGGTGGTCTTGCTTTTCCACATCCTGCTTGATAGGAATGAGAAAATGACTTGGCATACCTATAGAAAACAGAGTAGGAGGATTTGCATACCCATGTCACTCATACCCAGGTGCGCCCATGCATGCTTGCACATAGCAACACACATCCTGAGAATAGTTTCAGTTACTTACACAATTCCAGTTAGTCCTGCAGGGTCCTAAAAAGCTGATGAATAAACGGTTTGCAAACCACCTCAAGAAAGAATTCTTTGTTGTTTTTTGCGTGTTGTTAAGGGTGTCAGAGTAACCTGGGCAGTCATCCTAAAAGGTAAATGAGGAAACACACATGCACATACATTGTTGAAGGCTTTCTTCTCTTTTTGCTGCTTGCTGACATTCCATCACAACCTAGGAAGTCTTCAAAGGCTGCAGACACATCTGCCTTATCTGGCCTAGGAATAAGGAGTGACAAAACTATACACTACAGATGACATAGATGGCAGTTATTCCTAGTCCTGAGGTGCCCGGATGAGAAAGCTTGCATTAAAAAAAAAAAAAAAAAAAAAGAGGCCATGCTGAAAATTTTAACATTTTTCTTCCTTTCAACACAGGAATAAAGAGTATAGAGTTCAGAAGAAGCCAAGCAAAGGCAGTGTTCCTTTTGCAGGGTAGAACTAAGCTCTCTGAAACAGTGTTAAAAACACAAGCACTTTAACTACAACGATGGAAAATATTTATTAATGGACAGAAATCTTAACATTGGCTTAAAAAATTTTTACAGGAAGCTCTTAAACCTGATGATTTTTTCAGGAGTCTCTTCTTGAATACTCTGAACTTTAAACTCGAGTTTGAAACAGCGTTTCAAGTCACAGAAGGTGAAAGTGAGATGCACTGGTGCAAGAAAGTATCCTGTGTCTCTCATCCTTCCTCTCCATTCTGGGCTTTACAGTGCACTGAATGTTTGTAGGCTAGCACAGTGTAAAGCACTCTTCCCGTAGCATCCAGAATCCACCTGATCTTGTAGCATGACCCTGCAGAGGCTACCTATCACTTGTGAAAGTGTTTTCAGATCTTCTGAGAGCTGAGAATGGGGCAAGTTGATGGAGATGAACCCATCCTTTAACTCAAATGAACATATGTCTCTCTGCACAAAAACACTGGCATGCGAAGTCTGACTGAGGATAAAAGATAATCTTTGCTTTTGTGTCCAGATTTCCAGAAAGGATAGAGTAACTTCATTCCTGTGAGGTTAATCAAAACAGAATTCAAAAATTTTGCTTAGTAATTCTGTTTAATCTGGTCAAACCTATTGAGTCTGTCTCCTTCCTGAAGTTGAATTGGGTGGATAATGTGGCATGCTGCCCGGATCACACACACCCCTCAGGACTGACACATCCCACACATGTCTTATCCCTCCAGGTGATGGGAGAATCATGGATTGAGGGATCTCGGTGAGCCTCTCTTCAGGAAGTATCTTTGCAAAGGAGCTCTCTCCTACAAACTCACACTAACCTTTTGGGGTATATTGCCACCAGTGATTTGCCTGGTTCAAACTATTGCATCTCCTGAGACAATTAAGAAGAGCTCTCCCAACTCCAGGGGGTTCTTATCCACAAAATGGTCTGAGGTTTTGCTGTGCTCACCTGATATCTCAACTTCTCCTCTTTTTGCATCCTGCTTCCTTCACTCCCACAAAGGTATAGCTGTTGAGAGCATAGTCTAATAAACTTGCTGCATTTAAATCTGCGTCTCAGAGTCTGTTTCCTGGGGTTGCCAACCTGCAACATTTTAGGATCTCATTTCTGAATCAGCCACTGACATAAGGTGAGAGCTCAGATTTTTAACCATTCTATATCCTAGTGAAGGCAGAGGTCAGTGGCTCCTGTATTTCGATATTTATAAAATGATTGCATCATGTTTATTGAGCTATATTTACAGGGACTCAATTTAGTTGTCAGCAGTGCAGTATTATGTTCTTGGAAACTGGTTAAAAATAAAAATCTGAATTTTTCTCAGAATCCACAAGGAGTCATTTTATTTTTGTCTCTCCAAAATTCTTCATGAGCAATTTCATTTTCTTTGCAGCCCAGGGCCTCTGCTTCCCAGTGAGACCTCTGCTGCTTTGAGGGCTGTGCTGAAAATCAACGATAACAGGAAACACTAAGAGTGGGCCTATGTCTCTCCAATTTGCAAAAGAGAAGGTTGTGGTTCTGCAGGGGATGTAGCTGAAGTGAAGCTGAAGAGATCCTGGGTGCATTTGCAGAGTTAAGGGTTTGGGGTGTGACTATGGTGGAGGTTGAAGAAGTACCAATGGGGACATGAACTCGGTAAGTAACTGCAAAGAGCTAGTCTGATAAACCAAAGCTGGAGAATATCTTCAGTCTCTGAGGTCACACGAGAACCTGGGCTATCAGGTGCCTCTGCCTACCACAACAGGAAGCTTCACCTATAGGTTCAAAGGGAGGCATCTTCTCCCTTCATTTCCCACTTAGTGAGGAGAGGGGAAGGACACAGTTTTTGCCCAAGGCCTCAGTTCTCCAACACACTGACGTGGAGGATCTTTCACCTGAATCTCCAGCCTGGAGGCAGCCCATAGAATTTATCTTTCACTGGCCACAAGGAGAAGAATGGCTGCCATGATTTTCAGAAAACCAACTCCTCACTGGGAACTCATGACGATGTGTGGCGGCCTCCTGTGAGAGAACAAATGGTGTCCCATGCTTTTTCCTAGACCCAGTTGGTAAAAGATCAGAGGTGACAGAGGACAGTGCAAGGGAGAATTGGGGATGAATTCTTCTAGTCATCTGTCTAGCATACTCCTCTGGCATTGCGAGAAGACGTTTTATGCATTAAAGTAAGAAGACCTCGTTGCAAATGGCACATTTTGTAAATCCACGTAATGATCAAGTCCTAATTCTGCTTCACGTTCTTTTGGAAAAATAATAAGTGTTGACATGAAGAAGAAAATGGGAAGAAAGAGAGGGTAGAAACAGGTCTGAAACAAGAATTTAGATACATGGAAGAGCCCGTGAAAGAGGCGACGGGGGTGAGGGGCGTCAATCTCAGCAGCAAATTCTAAATCCTTGCTCAGACTTACAATGGTCAAAAGAGAACTTTTTAAATCTATATTTTCATGGTTCTTGCTTCTAGATGAAAATAAATGAGCAAATGAACAAGGATCTCTAGAAGCCTCATGTTACCTAGCTTCATAATTATTTTATTCAAATTGTGCTTCTCTTTCACAAATACTAAAAATGAGTATACCCATTATTCAATTATTCAAATCATATTTATTGAGCACTTAACTGTTACATGCCACTTAAACCAGGTACAGTTGGTTTAATGAGATAATTCTGCAAATCCTCAAACATAGGCTTCTATGTACATCTTGAGTTGTGTCTGACCATGGAGAAGCAATTGCTGGTGCAGTAAAATATTGCTGTTGCCAATTCTCCCTTAAGAAGTGACATCAGCTCTTTTCAGGCTCTGGCTTAGGAAGCGACTTCCTAGGTTTGTTGACTTTTTCAGTTTCCTTAATCTTCAAGAGAGGTTTAAACTGCTGCTCCGTCAAGAAAAACAGTCCTGTGTCCACAGCAAACAGAGTCGCCACCAACAAGGGGACAATAATTTGTAGCCACATATACTTGGTTTGGTATGCTAGCGTAGAACAGAGATGCAACAAGAGACAAATTTTGTGTTAGATCTTGGCAAAATTTGTGTCAGAGCTTCACTGCCTTAAGAGAAGGGTCAACCATGGTTCCCCCATCTTTAGTGTGATATGATATTAAGGAACAGAGAGAAAACACTTGGGGGATTGAGTTCCATAGGATATACTCCCTGGAACACTAAGGAGGGCTAAGTATTTGCTAATAATCCCCATCTCACCGTTCTTCTAGCCAGTGTGACTAATGGGAAAGTCTTAGGAAAAATGGCCTCTTTCCTGGATCTGACATGACCAGCATCCATATATGATTTGAAAGCAGAAAGGAGACAAAGTGAAACCAGGGTTCACCAGTGCCTTGTTTCTTAATCAATAAACCATGGTTTTTTGCATGATTACTGGGTAAAATGGAGATACTGGAGTAGTCATACTGCCTTCCAATTCTACTATTTTACAACTCTTGTGATTTTATTTACACAACACTGATTTTGTGATTATTCTAGAATTTGAAAGCTGCAAAATATTATAGCTAGAAATGGCTTGGAGGTCACCTAGACCAGTGTTTCTCAATGCTAGCTAGACATTACCAACACCTGAAAGAACTTTTGAAAATACTGATGACCAGACCCCACCCCAAATCAATTCTACCAGAATGTTAAAATATAAGACAGGGACATCCATCTCTCTTGAAATTCCTCAAGCGATTCTAGTGGAGTCTAGACCCACCCCTCAACTTACACATGAAGATGTTGGAAGTCCTGGGACAACTGGACAACACTTTGCTCTCAAGTTAGCAGAGAACTGCCTTAAGGGCTTAACCTGACCTTTAGCCTCATGTTTTATGGACATAATTATGAACATGCCAAGGGGAAAAAAAAAACTAATTTCCACCTTGCAAGGAGAATATTTCAGTTCCCTCCTGGTATATGAAGTCTGGAAAGGGCTGTTTCTCTTACAGGCCATGGTGGTAGCCCACCTGCCAGCTCTGTGTCCATCCAGCCCAGTCCCTCGTCCCCAGAATAGAGGCACACAGCTTACTGACTGGTTGGCTTCATTTCCTAGACCTTGTAAGCTAGGATCAACTCTCCCATCTCTTCACATCTTTTGTTTGTTCCTTCAACCTAGAGCTCTCTTTAAAATTTGAAATATTCAAAAATCTCAATCTTCCACATAAGTTCTTTCCTCAGGAGCAACAAATGAATTTGAGACCAAAATCATCTTCATAACCTGTGAAGTCTGCCTTATTCCTGAATCAGTAACCTATCATTTCTTGCACGACCTCTGGATAAAAGAAAGATTTGGAGTAGTTGCACGGCCATGAGATAGCTCTCTTTTATACAGGGAACTGCCAACAGAGTTTAACTCTAACTTTTGGCATCATGCATTTTTTAGACATAATTATGATTATTCCAATAAAAAAAGCATGAACATCAAATTCCAAGTTACAAAGACTTTTTTTTTTATAAAGTCTCTTAAACAAACATGATCGCATTATTCACTCGAATCCCATCGTGTGGGCAGTTACTATCATTTAACAACAAAGGAATGTGTGACTGAGATGCATGCTCTGTCTCCTTGTGGTAAATCTAGGAGCCTTTCTCACCTACCACAGCTGATCCCATTCTAAAAGCTGCAAAGATTTCAGGCTCAGATGTCCTCTCTCCCTTCCCTGCTGTGGACGATTTCTTTTTCCTTTACCCACTCACCTGTTATTACTGTAATTTGAAGGGGCTCAGAGACACAGGGCAGCTTCTGAAGTCGGCCCTTACAGAGATAGCTGCCAGTGTCGTTAAGTGAGGCATTTGTAATGGAGAACACTTGGTTCTCGTAGGAGTACTTGAGAGCCATGTCATTCTTGTAGTAGATCACCTTTCTGATCTTCCAGTTTCTCCAACCGTGGCACCT